AAAAAAAAAAAAAAAAAAAAAAAATGACCAAACCAGTCATTCAGCAGTGTGCATTTTGGTGGTTTTCAAGCTACGGTGCTTTTGGACTTTTTAATGTAAACATTCTTGATATACTAATTTTCAGATTAATGACAAAATTTATTTTTTTTGGGAATGGAAGACTGGCTTGGATATTACTTTTTCTCTCTGTTTTTTCTTTTTCTTTCTCCCTCCCTCCCTCCCTTCTTTTCTTCCTTCTTTTCCCTCTCTCCTTCCCTCCCTCCCTTCTTCCCTTCCTTTTCTCATAGTGGCAGCAGCTTTTTCCCAAAGGAATGCTTATTTTTTGACTGGACAATTTGGCTATACCTAATCATCGAAGTTCTTCTTTTTTTTCTTTATCTCTGGATTTGGAAAATGGATTCACTTTGGTTTTCTTCCTCATGAATTCTTTTTGGTCAGTCCAGCCATTGCAATTGCTAATCGTGTCTCCTTGTCAGACTTTGGATTTTTTGAAGGTCGTCAGTGTTTCAAAAAATTTCTTGCTCCTTATCACTGTCTTATTTCAATACATTTCCTCTTGAGCTTTCCCTGGGGGCAGCTCTGAATTTTTTTCTTAGTTGAGCCATGCAGATTTGCTAGAAGTCATCCTTTAGTTTTGGCTTTCCACTCCTCCATAGGTGCCATTCAGCTTCTTGGATATCTCTTGCAGTTTCTACTCATCAGCAGATTGACCAGCAGCACCCTCCTCCTTACTGAGACTGGTGCTTCCCCACCCATCTTTATCATTTTTATCCTTTTCTTTTTCTTCTTTTCTTTTTTATTTTAATTTTTTTAGACAGAGTCTTACTCTGTTGCCCAGGCTGGAGTATAGTGATATGGCTCACTGCAGCCTCTGCTTCCTGGGCTCAAGTGATCCTCCCACTTCAGCTTCCCAAGTAGTTGGGATTGCAGGCATGCACCACTATGCCTGGCCAACGTTTGTATTTTTTTGTAGAAATGGGGTTTTGCCAAGTTGTCCAGGCTGGTCTTAAACTGGCCTCAAGCGATTCTTCTCCCTCAGCCTCTTGAATAGCTGGATTTAACAGGCAGGAGCCATTTTGCCTGGCCATATTCTTACACTCTCGATTTTATTGGGGTCTCTGTCAGCTTACCCTGAAATTTATTCTGCATCATCTGAGGATTTGGAAGAACTGAATCACAGTTGTAGTAGACATCGTCATATTCTTATCCTTGTGTGTTTTAAACTGGGACAGGTCTTAAGGAAGGTCTTCTGTTGTGGCTTGGGGACTTTGAGTATTATCTCGTTTTTTTTTGTTTGTTTGTTTTTGAGATGGAATCTCACTCTGTCACTCAGGCTGGAGTGCAGTGGCGCCATTGCTCAGCCTCCCAAGTAGCTGGGACTACAGGA